CAGGAGGCCTTACCAAGGTCCCTGTTAGAACCATGCATAGGCAGGAGCCAACATGTGGTCATGATTAATCCTCTCAACACCCTAAACTAATGCAGACTGGCCTTGGGCCCCAGCCAGCTATCCCTTGAAAGCCCAGACCACTTCCCCATGCTTCTCTCATATTTTGCAGATGCCAGTTTTTTGCCTTGGCTTTCTTACTCTCTCCCCCACTCTATGATCATTAGAACTTTAGTAGTGGTGCTTAAGACAAAATGTCCAATGAAGGCACATCAAGTCATGAAGTGTCACTAATTTGTGGAAGAGGCAGTACTCAGCTATCACTGACTGTCAAGGACTGGTTATAAGTTCACAAGATTCCCTGGAAGTCATCGCTGTGTTTCAAGGCACAGGAAATGTCCTGCAACTTACATGACAGCCACTCACTACAAAGAATTATATGGCCCAGCTATGCAGCATTGGTGAAACTGTGGTGTTAATATATGCCTTATGGGTCTAAGAACCTATAAAGGTTAAGGATACCGAAGTGATTGAAAATTCAGACTCCAGAATAATCCAAACCTAGTAGTTTAAATTGGCTCATAGGAACAGATCACAATTGATTTAACCTCTCTGGTGTCAATTTTTTCATTTATAAAATGGGGATAATAGTTTCAAATGCCTAAAGTTGTTGCCAGGGTTAATCTCTTATTCTGTGAAAGATTTTTTTCTATTTTTAAGTATGATTTTATTGTAAAAATAGTGTACAGAGGGGTTTCAGTTACATGAGTAAGGTAATGAGTGTGTATCCTATCGAGTGTTACCTCCTCCTTTGTTTATCCCCTACCATCCCTTCCCTCCTCATCTCCCCAATTCCTCCCTTCCCTCCACCAAGTTATAACCCCTGTTTTTACTGTATTACTGTATTTGATGTTGGTGGCTTGCATCTTGTATATATATTTTTCTAATTTGGGGAGGGGAAGGGAAATAACAAAATGCTGAAATAAGGATACAGGTTGAGCCATTGTAACAATGAGATGTACAAGACACTATGTTGAAAACAATCTTTTCCATTCTTTATCTAGAAGCTCATCTGCTTCAGTATCTTTTGAGTCAGTTTCTAGAGAATTATGAAGTTTTGGAGGAGTTACATTGCCTTGTTTTACCCATATGTCTTATATTTCTGTTGGGTGATTTGTGCATCTATTGGGATGGATAGCTTTTACACTTTTTTAAAAATACGTTTTTTTATTGTAAAAATACTGTACAGAGGGGTTACAGTTACATGAGCAAGGTAATGAGCATATTTCCTATCAAGCATTGTTACCTCCTCCTTTGTTTTTCCCCTCCCATCCCTTCCATCCCATGTCCACAACTACCCACCCCCCCACCCCAGCTTAAACTGCAAAGTTCGTTTTTCAACATAGTGTTTTGGACATGTCACTGTTACAATAGGTCAACCTGTATCCCTATTTAAGCATTTTGTTTTTTTCCCTTCCCCTCCCCAAACTAGAGAAGTGTATATACAAGATGCAGAGCACTGACATCAAATACGGTGAAAACAGGGGTTATAACTTGGTGGGGGAAGGGAGGAGTTGGGTAGGCGGGGAGGGAAGGGATGGTAGGGGATAAGTGCAATGACTATACAGAGTGGAAACATTTTAAATAATGGCTACTACTATTTTGTATGCCCTTAAACACCTTTACAACTGTGATTTTAGAAGCATAATAGGTATATGCCCTTACCCTCAGAAATAAGAAGAGCTAGCTGTCAAGTTACCGAGTTTATCTGAGGTAAGTTTTTATATCTCTTGCATAGTGGGAGGTAGTGTTTACAACACAGTTATTGGGAAAAACGAGTAGGAAAAAAGTATTGGAAACATTTGTACAAGGAATGGCTTATATTAGGTGTTCAGAAGAAGATAGGATATGTAATGCTCCATGACTTCTCTGTCTGGATTTCAAGTAGTGTTCTCTTCAAGAAGACATCTGAGATATATTGCCCTCTCTGGTTTTGAAAGTCTTGCCTCCTTAAAACATTACCCCTGTGGGGTCATTGTTATCTATGAAGACAGACTGGTCTAATTAATAAGATCATTGTTGCCTTAAGGACTTAGACCAATTCTATGCCAACTCTGACCTTAATGGGTGGAGCAAGTCCTAATATATGGACATGCCTTCACTTAATAGGTGTTAGATAAATGGTTCCTTGGCCTCTTTGGGCATTATATTATTCATCCATAAATGGATGACCCCTACGGACCCTTTCAGCTCTAAATTCTGTGATTATATTCTAAATGTTAGGACAACATGGTGCTTACTGGCATCACCATTAATGAAATTACCCATCATTTGTCTTACAAATAAAAAGTACACACTAAGTGTGTGTGGCTTCTTTATCTCACCCACAACTCTCTAGTGACACGTGATAAATGTGAATGTCTCCGGAAAAAAAAATTCTAGCTGCTCTGGGGTGACTTGAATTTTCTTTCCTTTTTTTTTTTTTTTTTTGACCTACTTATAGTAAACATATCCTACTTGAATATAATTCTATAAGCTTGAAACTTAGGATGCACTTGAAAATAAAAAAATGTGTTTTAATACCTGTTGATTCCATAAGAAAAAAAATGTTCTTCTCACATTTTATTTGAGGTCTACCAGTTCACCCTGACCTTGATTTTACTTCAGAGTCAAGGCTCACAATAGGTGGGAATCTCACTCAGACTTCATTCCCCTTGCTCCCTTTCAATCTTTATCTTGCTACTTCTTGTCATCATGGATGAAGCATCCCAGACTATGCCTCTACCCACATGGACACTGGATCTCACTTCCTGTTAGTTACCAGCTTGAGGATCCCTGCTTCCTCCTCCTCTTTCACAGCCTTCCAGCCACTCCTCAAGGTTTATAGCACAGTAATCCTATTTCCATTCATGATTAAATAGAATAATTTCTCCAGTCATGCCTCACTGGACCAGGGCAAAATATTAAAGTTGTTTTGTTTTATTTCATTTTATGGGGCTTTATTCATATTTTTTTCCTTGTGTCCTCATGGAAATGTTGTTAAGAGGAAAGATTTCTATCTTGATCATTAGCCTTTCCTGTAAATCTCATTTCCAGACTTGCTCCAAATTAGGGTAAAAGTTAAGTGAAGTGGGAAAACAAGAGAGACATTAGGGACATTATGCTGTGTCAAAGCAGTCCACTTCAATAATTTGCCTCTGTGAATTTGCACCATTGTCTTGCCTTGCCTTGCCAGGTCAGTTTCACCCTCCAGTGGGCAGGGACCCTTGTGGGTGGCCAACACCCCACCCAGCAGGTGACAGGCATTACAGCCCTGCAAGAGCATTAGCTGTACAGAACAACAGCAGGTTCTCTCTCTCTTTCCCCCTCCCCCTCCCTTGTTCCTCCCTCTCCTCCCTCCTCTCTCTCTCTCTCTCTCTCTCTCTCTCTCTCTCTCTCTCTCTCCTTTCTCCCTGTAATCAGCAGAGGGACTTTCTCTAGCCATCTGCTGTTGTGCTGGTCCAAGTTTATCAGCCTGTCCACAGATTGCTCTCCTAAGGCTGTATGGTTTGTTTCTATTGTTTACTGTATGCTTGATTTTCTCATTTCTCCAGATTTTATTCTGTTAGTTTGAACATAGGTTTCATATATTTCTCACTACAGAATCCTACATTTGTTCTTCTTTAACTTCTTGTTGTACAACTGTACTCGAGAGCAGGGGTGAAAGGGACCTATAGTCAAGATACTGATGAACCAAGTCCATCGAATCTAAACTTAAGTTTGTCTGACTTCTTGTGGTTACCTAGGGCAAGTTGCAATACTTCTCTATTTCATTTCATTTATTTATTTCCTTACTTACTTAGGTAAAATGTTTATACAAACACAAATCGTCTCAAATTCTTGGGTTATATGAGAATTCCTAGAGACAGTTATTGAAAGAATTCTCTGGAAAGACAAACTGCTGTAAACACCTACTGATATTTCTGTTAAGTGTATTAACAGCAGCAGCCTAATAATATTCCTAATGGTGTCTGTACTAGATGGAATAACTTTCCACCTGGGTAGATAACAGGTAGAGAGTATATCCCCAGTCTACCTGTCAACATGTTAAGTCTCTTTATTCCTAAGCTGCCTAGTTAGCAGATAGGTGTCCCCAGGTTCTCTGCTTAGCAAAAAGGACACCCTAGCTTATTAACTACTGCTGGGAGGGACGTCTGGCTGAAGATGATTAGAGCCTAGAAAAGTGATGAGGACCAGAGTCTGTACCACCTATTCCCATAAAGGGATTCTTTGTGCTGTGTTGCACACATTGTCCCTTCTACTTGATGCTGAGGGGGGAAAGTACTTATCAGCCAGAGCTTCCCTGGAAATAGCTTGACAAGTCCCTTTGTCACGCTTTTCTGCAGGAAGATATCAAGGCAAATTGGTCCTTCACTACACATCTCTGTGTTCTTTTTGCAGACTAGCAGGCTAGCGACTTATTCTTGTGTTAGAGGAAATTACATGAGAATTTTTTAAGTGACATTTAATAGAGCTAGCAACAATATCCAGGAGACACATGACTACTGACAAGCCCGCGACTTTGAAGCATGATGTTTCTCAGTGCCTGAAAACACAAGCCCTCTCTCATCCGGAGAGATGTGACTACCTCCTCTTCTTTATAAAAACTCTTTCCCTTGAGAGAACATGTTCCCTGCCAAAGAAAATGGCAGAACCAAACTAGCATAGTATGTTTGCCACAAAAAAGAGTAAAAGACATAATACAAATACAAATGTCTAAGGTTTCTAAAAATATTCCTTCATATGACTCATTATTGTTAGGATTTGTGACTGTTTGATAAGCTCCAGAACCTTTTACTGCTATGGAAAATAAATCATTCTTAATAGCTGAGGTATTTCTCTCTCTCTCTTTCTCTCATTTTTATACTTGAACTTTTCTCTCAAACAGCTCCATGTCATCACCATGCTTTCTTGTTTGTTTGTTTGTTTCCTGCTTCACACCATTTATCTTTCCTCTGCCTTAGGATGGTCGTCTGCGAATGAATGACCAGCTGATTGCAGTTAATGGGGAAGCTCTTCTGGGAAAGTCCAACCATGAGGCTATGGAAACACTTAGACGATCAATGTCCATGGAGGGAAACATACGAGGGATGACCCAGTTGGTGATTCTAAGGCGGCCAGAGAAACAAATGGAGGTGATGCACATCTTGATTTACATAAGCAAATGGCTACCAGAATGTACAAACTTCCCTGACTCATAGCAATTCTTCAGTTGGGAGATTTTGTCTGAGATGGGTTCTGATAGATACATCAGAACCTGAGGTGATTGTATACTTTAGGTATTACTAGAATATATAAATATGTGTATATGAAGTAAGGTATTTATCAAATGTACCAGGCCCGTATTTTCCTTTATTATTCCTCCAAAAATTCCTAGAGCTCGAGACTTGTGCATAAACATCTGTATGTACTTGTTAGTTGATATCCTAGTAATGTCCACACCTTACAGAGTTCCTGACCAGACATGTACAATATTTAATTTGAAGATCATTTAATACAGTCAGCACTCTATATTCTCCCTGATAATTTGCAGAGAGGTAACAGAAATTTGAAACTTAATGAAGTTGAAATTTGATCCATTGAGCAAGCTTCTTGCTTCATATTAAATAGGTAGAAGTCTTATTTTTAAAAATATTTTATCATGATTTCTGTATAGACTTTATAATGTTAATAATATTCCCACTTAAGGAGGCTGCAATGCTTGGTAAGAAATGTATGCATTATCCTGCCCATGTAATTGTAACCCCTCTGTACAGTATGTTCTCAAATAAAATAAAATTAAATTAAAAAAAATAATAATATTCCCACTTATACACGATGTGTAAACATAAAATAATCTTGATTGCTCATATCCCTAAACATTACACTTTTATAAAATTCTAAATGTAAAGTGTTCTTCAAACATTATTTTCCCTTACATATGAAAAATAGTTATGAAATGTTCCTAACAATTACTTTAGGAAAAAATAAAATGAAGAAAAAGTTAATGGTAGTAAACCCTATGGAAAATGTCAGTGAATCTCACTATCATATCCAGATTTTTTAAGGCCAAAATATGTTTGTGTAATATAATAGTATGCAAAATAAAACAATGCTATTAATAGTATTAATATGAAATATTTGTAAATTGAACTTAAAATTTAAAAATGGAAAGATTAAATAGTGGGTAGTGGTGAGACCCTTATGGTTAAAAACTTGCCTCTGAAATTCTGGATTACTAGAGTAAAAAATCCTAAATTTCAGGCTGGGAAGGTAGCTCAGGGATAGAGTGCTTGCCTTGCATGCATGAGGCCCTGGGTTCAATTCCTTAGCACCACATAAGCAGAAAAAGCCAGAAGTGGCTCTATGGCTCAAGTGGTAGAGCACTAGCCTTGAGCTGAAGACTTGAGGACAGCGCCTAGGCCCAGAGTTCAGGCCCCATGACTGACAAAAAAAAAAAAATCCTAAGTTTACCATTTTCTGGTTATGGAACTATATATGTATGTAAGTGCCCAGTATGTGTCCATGACCAATGTTGTTTCTCCTCCCCGCCCCCCTCTTTGTTCATTTCCACCCCCTCCTTTGTTCATTAATGTATCTTCATTTTGCAGCACTTAACTGATACATAATAAGTGTGTTGAATAAAAGAGAACATTACATCTGAAAACAGATTTACTTCATCTGAAAGAGCAGGTCTTGAGAGATGAAATAATAAACTCTCTTACTTGTTACTATTATCAGTGATTGAAAAGAGTAACTGTACCTTTTACACTTTCCTTTACATAACCTTTTAGATCTTAAATAAATGTAAATTGGCCAATTACTGTAGACTATATATAATGAAGAAGCTCATTTTCAACGTTTGCATTTGGTTAAGTGACAGAATCTTCTATGAATACTTAATGGGTTTCCCTTACATACATACTTTAAATGCCCTTATTTACTGCTTTCTACCATGAAAGAAGGGGCTCCATCAGGCTCTTAGAGCCCCTGAATTCCATAGAACTCACTTATTAGACAAGATGGACGGCGGGCCTTGGTCATCCCTCCTAGGAATCTGCATATTAGCACTCCCTTATGATTTCATTTAACAAAACACCTGAACTAATAGAAAAAAATGGAAGACCACTTCTCCAGAGAAGCATACACATGTGAAGAACAAAAGAGAAAAGAAAGAAATGGATATGGTTGAAAAGACTTAGCTATACCCATGCCTCCCCTTTTCCTAATTTCACACATGTAAACACATGGATGGATGGATGCTAGTGGTTAAATGCAATATGTTAGCTCCTAGAACACTTTACCACCCACCAGTGTCTGCTTCTTTTCAGATATTTCATCTTAATTCCTACAGTCTAGAGTGGATGCACATTGCTCCATCAGAAGAAAGTATTAACTTTCAGTTTGTTGCTCATCCTCAGAAGTGTCTTGCTAATACAGTTCACTGGGGAATCGATTAGGAATAGGAAGTGGGGCAAAAAGCAATTTTTATGAGGACATTTAAACAAGATCCATTTTCTTTCCCTAATATTTACAAGCTTTCCATGGGGAACAAGTAGGCACTTGACTCTCAGCTATTGAGAATCTCTGTGGTACCCTGAAGATTAAAGAGCATTATTTCATATAAAGACAGCAGCCTCAACTACAGCTTATCTTTATTAAATTTGAAAAAAATGCAGCTATTTGATCTCCCAAATCTGTGTTTTACTGTGTCAGAGCATATGTTGTGTGCTCCTGCTTTTTGTGTATTCTCCCATGGAGCAGCAATTGCTTCCACTACAAATTAAAAGAAAAAGAAAATACATCTATACCTAAAAAGGTCTCAGCACTATTCAGGCATTCGGGCAAATCAATTAGTTAGATTTGGCAAGAACAACACAGTGGCTGCTTGAGCCTTATATTGATATTTAAAAAATTGAAGAAGCTACTTAAGAAAAGTCAAAATATAAAAAAGTTGCTGGGTTCCTCCCCCCCCCCACATTACCCAGTTATACAAAATCAGTAAACAGTTTTGATGAGATCTTCATGAAGAATACATAACAAGCCCTTGATTGAATCAGAATCATTTTAAACAGAAGAATGTTTTTCAAAGGATGAGCTTGAGGTTCAATTGTAATTCTATTTGAGCCTAGAGACCTGGTATTAAAAAATGGGTTATGACCTGGTTTTGTTTTTCCCTCTCCCCAAAACATTTTCCTCTCTGTTGCCAGCCCATCTTGGTAGAGACAGAATATGTTTAAAAATCCATTATATTTTTTATTGGCTAGGACACTAATGGAGGGCTCCATGACAGCTCTATTTTACAGGCTGAATACTTTAATTAGGCTGCTTACTGATCAGTTGTTGGGATATTGATTGTGTCATTTATCAAAGAGCCGGGAGAGCAGAAAAAAAATTTTCTTGTTGTTCTTGTTGCTATTGTTAAATGAAGATCCTGTGGGCCATTGCAATTCAAGTCCTCCTCCTGTGTGCTGCCATTTCTACTTTTCCCTCCAAGTGAAGGCACGGGTTCCCCCATACCTGACCGGGTTTTACTAGCATTGAGGAGCAACAAATAAACACCTTGGGTATGAGAGAAATGTTATCCCTTCACGGAAAAGGAAAGGCCCTTCTACAGTGAAAACATTTTAATTGTAAAGCCTGCAGAAATGGAGTGGTTAAGATATGTTGTTTTGCTAGACACTGAATTTTTGTAACTAAGAAGGAAATAATATAAATCAAATGTATTACTTTAGCCAAATGCTTTCCCAGAGCAAAGTGCTTTGGGAATCAGAGCTGTGTTCTTGTTTGTGACATGTTCTTCTCACCAATGGTCAAGGGAACAGCTATGAAATGACTTCCAAATCATTTACTTCCTTGAAATCTGTTAGGGAAAACAAATAATATGAACAAGAGCAAACCCCAGTTCTCCTCTATGGCATAATCCTCTTGGAAAAAAAAAATAGCTAGAGTTCTCTGTAATTGGCTGCCTCCTAGTACCTCTTCAGCACCTGGGGAAGATGGTTTGTGTGGTGTTATTCCGGATACAGCAGTTTGAAGAAAACTGTGAATTTGTTTACAGACTGTCACAATCCAAGCACAAAGGGGAGAAATATGGGGAGGGGGGGTGGCGGGGAGGAAGAAAAGAGAATCTCAGGAGAACCACTGTCTGGCATTGTCAAAGCAGTTTGTTTTAGCTCCTGGCCAAAGATCTGGTGTGGGACACACTCTCAACATTTTTGTGGCAAAATTGCTTGGGCTTGGACTTGTCCTAGAGCTCAGGACTTAGCTGGGAGGGAGAGGGGAGGGGGAGGGGAGAGGGAGAGAGGAGCCAGCTGGTTGGCACAGAGACACCCTTGGCATGAACTGCATTCTTCTATTGACACTGCCACAAGCTGTACTCCCAGATGGAAGAAAATGTGAAAGAAGCCAGTTGTAAGTGGGGGAAGGAATAATAAAGTTAATCCTCTTTTGTGTTGGCTATCAGCACCCCTAATCCTTAACACTACAATGTCAGTAGGTTTTTTATTATTATTATTTCATATTCAAAGATGTTTTAACTGATAGGGCCATTTTGATTTTCCACAGTTGAAGAGTACCTGCTGGATACTCTTGAAAGATGATTCATATATCGATCATTCTATCACTTATCATTTAACCAAGCTGGAACCTATTTTTAAAAAGCAAATGTAATTTTTATTTGTCTCCCATAGGAGTTTGCAGAGTGTGGAGCACTGCCCAAGCCATGCTTTGAGAACTGTCAAAACGCTCTCAGCCCCTCCAGGAGAAACGATGGTAGTCTATTACATCCATTTGGCACTTACAGTCTACAAGATAAACAGAAAGGTAAGAGTCTATCTGCTTTCATCCATTGTAAAAGTAGTAAGGAAACCCAAAAGTGCCTTTTCATTTATTTTTTTTAAATGGGACAAAGAGGATTTAATTAGACTAAGTGCAGACACTCTTACTGAGAATCACCAGCGCTGAGAGGAGGGTGGCAGAGCTGACTCAGAACCTGTGAATCATATTCCTGGCAAGGTCTCCCGTTTAAGTGACAGTTTCTATGCTCGCTGCCCCAAACATGGAGGGTTACACATAAAACAAACCATGACTAGAGAATCAAAGATGGCAAACTGTTCGTTGCTTAAAGATCTTTTAATATTGAAAGTTACCAAGTATATCTAAATGTGTTTATGCTTATATTAGACTAGGGCTCCCAGATTTATGCTTGATTGTAAAACAAATGTAGTCTATAGTCAAATACCATAACTTGAATCCATAGTGTAGGAAGATGTTTCTGTTTTTGTCTTCCTTTCTCTTATTGTTGGCTATGAAGCACAGTTCTCAGAAATAAATCCACATGTTTAAAAAAATCTCTAGGTTTTCTTTACTATTTTCCAAAAACTACTTCTACTTCAGGTTACCAGGAAAAGTATTTAATCTCCCTGTATCTACTTTCTCTAGTAACTTTCGTTTCTTACATTGCAAAGCAATGCATACATATTCATTGTAGAACATTTAGAGAAAAGCAATAAAATGAAAATTTAATATTACTCATACTTCTATCTATCAAAGCTCTCAATCAATAATATTTTATGTGTATCTTTCAAGTCTTGTACATGCAAATATGTACACATAAAATGAAATTAAAAGTGAAATGTACTATATATAATGTTAAAGAAGTTTCTGTTTTAATCAATAGTCCATTATGAACGTCATACCAAACTGAATATTGTAGTTTCTCATTCAATATGGCACAGTCTTCTATTAAGTGGAGGTAGCTACAAATACTATGTTATTATTCACTTACATTTGGGATGCTTTGAAGGTGTTACAAAATTTAGCTGCATGGGAACAAGTTCCAAATAGGTCCAATCTTACTTTGTCAGAATGGATTTGTAAGTCTGAGATTGTTCTGTCATTCAGTTATTCCATCTGAAAGGGAGGATGTTTGTTTATTTTCTTCTTCTGGATCCCTCCATTTTAGCCACAGAGGTAGCCACAGCTGTTCCCATTTATTAAGTGTTTGCTGGCTACTATGTACCAGGTTAATCAATAGATGCGCACAAAGTGGGTAATATAATTATCTTACTTTATATATGAAGAAATAGAAGATCAGTGGGAGTAATTTACCCAGGATGGTGTACTGGATACACAGAGGGCCTAGACTTAATTCCTATCTTCTGTCTTATCCTAAGCCACAGCTCAAGCTCTGACACACATTGGTCCTCTGAAACTATTGATATTGTCCCACCTCCTTCTACCAATGCCTCTTAGGTGCAGACTTTCCTTTGTATCCACATATAGAAATACTCAGCATATCTTTGTCACCTTCAAGAACTTAAACTTGGACATGTGAGGGAAGAAGTCAGTGAGACTTGAACTCAGGGCCTTACTCTTGCTAGCCATGGCTCTACAAGTGAGCTACAACTCATGCACTTTTTTGCACGGATTATTTTTAAAGTAGGCTCCTGATTCCTGAATTGATATAGGCCTGGAGCAAAATACGAGTATTTTGAGTCTCGCCTCATAACTGGGATGGCAGATATGTACTGCCCAAACCAGCTTCTTCCACCGAGATGGAGTCTTGAAGATGTCCTGGCCTCTCCTGAAGCCTACATCCACCTGATCTCAACTTGCATGCAGCAAGGATGACAGGTGTAAGCCAGCGAAAGTCTTCTTGACAGAACAAGATCTTCTTCTAAGACCTACAGTCTTAATAGCCACACAATCAAGAAGAAACAGGTCTTCTACAACATATAACAACCTTCTTTCTACTATGCCCATGTTAAGATCTCAAACATGGACATCTACATTAAGATATAATAATGTGTTTGGCATTCAGTTCTCAAGCAACATGTTTTCAGTGACTGAGTTGAGGGTTTCATTGCTAATTTTATCAGTGCCATCCAAAAATACTTGGGTCACGTTTACCCCTTTCTTGGTTCATTTTTATTACCTATGAAGAATCAATACTAAAGTGATAGTCATGAAAAAAATTTTTAGGAGATATTGTTGTACTCAAGGAAATAGAAGAATATCTCTAAAATAACATGGCAATCTTAAAAGAACTGTACAAATAGCCAAAGTATAAAGATACATATAGAAAATGAAATTTAAGTGATAAAATATACTTGAAGCACATGCTAAGGTAAAATGTAGCAATATAGCCAGGTGCTAGTGGATCGTGTCGGTATTCCTAATTACTCAGGAAGCTGAGATCTGGGAATTGTGGTTCAGACTGCCTGGGTAGGAAAATCCATGAGACTTATTTCCCATTAACTAATGAAACTATGTAAGTAGGCTTGTGGCTCAAGTAGTAGAGGGCTAAGCTTAAGCAACAAACAAACAAAAAACTAAGGGGCATTGCCCAACCCCTGAGTTCTAGTCCCAGTACCTATTCCCTGCTGTCCACCCAAATAGTTACAATATAATAAGGCTGCTAACCAAGTACACTGCAGTTAAAAATAATAATTAATTTAAAAATCAAAAGAAATTTCAAAGACTTTCTAATTTAAATATGTGTATTGTTCAGCTCAAATGAGGTGTGGAGAAGTTCCCAGTCAGTCCTGCATGATTGCCAATTGTATTTAGATGTTTGTGTGACTTGCTGAGTCTTTCTTCTTGTTTAAGTTTGACAAAATAAACCTCACAAAAAAGTGAGTGGTATCTAAATACAAGGGGAAAGTTATAACCATCCTCCCCAGGCAAAAAAGGATACAGAACTTGAGTAATTTAAGTGGCAACTGAGAGCATCATATTTGTTGAAAGATGGCATGTCTTTAACAGAAGTTGAATGGCATGGTTGGAACCATATAGTCATAGATACCAAGGATCTGCTCTGCTTTGGAGCTTCAATAGAGTGTTTATACTTTGTCCCTGTACTGAAAGAAAGTGTCCCTCAGGCACAAATGACCACAATCACTAGGAGATTTTTCTTACTCTCCCCCTCCTGAGCTATAGATCAAGACAGAACACCCTGGACACTACTAAAAATAAACATGCAGATCGCTACTTCCAAGGGACCTCCTTCCCTTTCTTTCTCATCTCAGTTCTCCAAGCTAGTAGTGTTGTTGTTTTTAATGTATTATGTGATTTTTTTGTTTCTTTTGTATGTTCTTCCCCCTATGGTATATCCCCTGTTGTCACTGTATTTGATTTTGGTACCTTGGTATTGTATATACATTTATCTGAATTAGGGAAGGGAAGGGGAGGGAAGGGGAACAACAAAATAGTGAGACAATGGGCAAGGGGGGAACCAATGCAACAGCGATATTCATAAGACAATATTCTGGAATAATTTGTACCATTTGGATGGGGGCGTTGGGAGGGGAGTGAAAGTGGGAGAAAAATGAGGGAAGGGGTAACAAGTTTGACAAGAAATGCACTTGTTCCTTACTTATGTAACTGTAACCTGTCTGTATATCACCTGACAAGAATTAAAAAAAATTCTAGTGTCTTCAAAGCCTGACTCAAAACCTAAACTTTGTTCTTCTTTCAGTTGTGGGGCTTGAACTCAGGGCCTACATGCTGTCCCTGTCTTTTAGCTCAAGTCTTGCACTCCACCACTTTAAGTCACAGTGCTGCTTCCAGTTTTCTGCTGGTAATTATTACAGAGATAAGAGTCCCATGGACTTTCCTGTCTTGAAATTGAAATCCTCAGATCTCAGCCTCCTAAGTAACTAGGATTACAGGCATGAGCTACCAGCACCCGGGTAAACTTATTTTTTTAATAGAGAAAAAAACATTTGTTATTATGGGATAGTAGTTTAGAAACAGATTCATCAAAACATAGAGTCAAGCTGGGTGCCAGTGGCTCACACCTATAATCCTAACTACTCAAGAGGCTGAGATATGAGGATCACGGTTCAAAGCCAGCCAGGGCAGGAAAGTCCCTGAGATTCTTATCTCCAATAATCCACTAGAAAACTGTGCTGTGGCTCAAGAGGTAGAGCTCTGGCCTTGAGCTGAAGAGCACAGGGACAGCACCCAAGCCCAGAGTTCAAGCTCCACGACCGACAAAAAACCAAAACAAAACAAAACATAGAGTCAATCAATTTATGATGCACACCAGATGAAATTCTCTTTGTAAATAAACTTGCTGACTTAGAAGAATTATATTAGAATTAATAAAGATTGTATTGTAGAAGGATATTATGATAGCCAGATGTGGTAGCTCTTACCTATAATCCTAGCTACCCAGGAGGAAGAGGAGGAAGATCACAGACTGAGGCCAGCCTATGGCCAAAAGACAAGATAACTATCTGAAAGAGGAGTTGGGGTATGACAGAAGTGGTGGACTACTTGCCTACCAGCTTGAGTCAAACCCCAGTATCCCTAAAGAAGAAAATAAAAGATCATGTTTATTGTTTCATTTTTATTTTAATAGTTTTTTTTTGTTTCTGTTGGAAAATATAGTTTTATGTCAGAGTTTCTGAGTTTCTTTTTTTTTTTTAATTTTATTTTATTTTATTTGAGAACATACTGTACAGAGGGGTTACAATTACATGAGCAGGATAATGCATACATTTCTTACCAAGCATTGCAGCCTCCTCCTTTGTTTACCCTTCACCTCCCTTCCCAGCCTCCCCCCTCCCCCCCACCCAATCATACCCCCCCCACCCCCCACACACACCGACATTGTAAAGCTGGTTTTGACATGACATTTTGTACTTCTCATTGTTGCAACAGAGTTTCTGAGTTTTATTCCAGAGCCATATAAGATGGCAAAGGTCACTGAGATTCGTGAACCCCAGCATCGCCTTACTACTACTGATATTTTAAGGCCTTGCTTTAGAAAAAGAAGATTAAGACAAACCTGACAAAATGTAATGTCTAGTGAGGGGAGGAACTGGTGCAGCCAAAACATTAGCTTTTTTTCTTCTCTTTTTCCCTTTCCTTTGTATATTTAAAAATCCAATGTTGATATTCTGTGTTCCATCTATTTTTATAATAATAGTACATACCACCCACAGTTCACTGAGTACTTTATTTCTTTTATTCCTTTCAAGCTGTTACACCGAAAAGGCATTTTTAGACCTAACATTTGTAGAAATTGCAACAGCAGAAAATTCACATTTGTGTTGGAGAACTGCGTGCAGTGTCTGTTTTGGAATAAACGTGGAGCTCCAAGATAGTAATAAGGATGGAGGCTGTGTCCCAGGGGCTGACTATAAAATCCTATTAAGCATTTGAATGGTAATGAGGTGCACCAACACTGTGGTTTCCGAGGAGTCTTGGTAGTGCATTGAACCCTGGACTGAATAATAGCCTAAGTGCAATGTGCCTCTGGTCCTCCATTACCTCTCCTGATATTGCTCTCCGTTTTTTGTGTGATCTCCTACACCCCCTCTAATTTTAGTTCTAGTCCAACCTAGTCACGCATTGCCCCAAGTCTGCTCAGCATTGCCCACAAAATTTAGCCTTTCCTCCTCACCTCAAATCAAATGTTTCACTTCTGTGCTCCATTTCATTAAATCCATATTCCTTGGAGTCTTTCAAAGATGCATACAATTCTTCATCATGTGTGTATTCTTCTGGAAACCAACATGTATCCACCCCTCTATAACATAGAAGGCACTGTCTGCAGTGGTGACTAGAAACTGAATTATGCTTTGCTGCATGACTAATGTTGACTGGATACCCCCATGGTCCAGAGCACAGAATCAGGGATATGAAGATGAATGCAGTGATAATTTGCCCTCAAGAAGACTAAGGCAACAGTTATCAAACTCTTGTCCTTAAAAGACTAAGTATTAAATACGGCTGGCTTTGGAGACTATGGGGTCTTTTACAACTCAGTTCTGCCATGGTAGTACAGCATCAGTGACAGACTATCCATAAACAAACAGGCAGGTAATATATGTTCAGTGAAACTTCATTTACAAAGCCAGGTGCTGGGCTAACTCTAGAACAGGGATAGAACTCGCTAACCCCTTCTCTAAAGACAGACTCTCATTTACCTATCTTTTCTGGTCTGGATTTGGCATACTGAAGCCCACCAAAAAACAATGAAAGGATGACCATTTCTCTGTCAATTAAGTAGATACAAATACTCCCATTCACAGGTGTATATATAGAGTGAACATTCAGAGTATACCTTATATACTCAATGAAATCAAATCTAAAAATAATGTTTATAGAAATATGTCTACAGAATTCTAGGCTTTCACATGGGTATTTGAATCAAGAAAAGTACAACATCTGAATATTATGTTTAAAACTATACCAAGAATGTAGGGTCAACCAGTAGACTTTCCTCTAATCCCATCATCACTTAAAGAAAAAAAGGTATGGATCATATGAATGCACTAAAAATTAAAGTAGTAACTACAGTAAATTCAAAATTCAGAAGAGGGTGAAGAAAAGGAGGAAGGAACAGAGAGGGCATGGAAGAAATTATCCATGGTCTAATAAGAGAAATGCAGATGATTGGATGATAGCTTGGTAGATAAATAAATACATGGTTTAATTTAAACATAGCATGTGAAAAAAATGTAACACAGGAATCATTTAACATATAGTAAGAACTTAACATATAGAAAGAACTGGTATAGAATACATAAGGCTAACACCCAGCTATGTACCAGGAAGAAAATGTTCTTTTTGCCACTACTGTAAAAGTACTAACATATCCTAGGCACAGTAAGTGACATTGAAAGTAGGCTTTAACAGGTGGAGTGGGTTTTATAATTGTGTAAGTAAAGACATAGAGTCAGATAAGCCCACTGCTATGGTCATAAAATATATCTTAGGAAATGAAAACAAGAACAGAGATCTTTATTCAGTATGCAACTATATGCAGTGGAAGTGAGTTAGAGAAAGCAGGTTACATGCTCACATCTGTGTTTATCACCAGTGTGCAAGACAGAGAGGTTTGGGTTGAAAGATGTAAACCAGCTGGAAGATCTTGGCCCATTGTGTCCCTTGTCTCTGTATACAGTATAGACCTGCTCTATGTCCTTTAGTTAAATATCTGCGTTCTTGACCATGCGCACCATTACCAAATCACTGGATCATTGGCAGAGGCATCATTCTCATCCTGCTCTGACACCTTCTGATCAGATCCCTGGCTTTGAGCCTCATTTTCAGGAACATGTCAGCCCTGCCACCACCTTCTCCATTACCGCCTGGATATCAGAGCCAGGTGCAAGTCCTTGCTGTGTGTCCTCTCAAGGTTCTCCAGAGAAACAGAACCAACTGGTATGGGTGCAAATGAAGAGATTTATCATAAGAAATAGGTTCTTGTGGTTATGGAGGATGATGACCCTAAGTTCTGAAAAGTGGACCACTAAACTATAGATTCGGCACAGCTGATGTGTGTAGCTCTAATGATGTGAGCCCAGTGACCTCAGAACCAAGAAAGATAAAGCTGGGCTCCCATCCAGAGGTTTGAAGCCTTGCAATCCAGGAAGAGCACACATTAATAGTGCAAGTCCAAACTCAGTAACAATCCACTCTCCTCGATTAATGTTGGTCAGGGAGAAGAGTTCTCTCCTACTCAGGGAAAAATTCAACTTTTTGTTCTACTCAGATCTTCAGCATACTAGATGAGCCACACCTACATTAAAGAAGGCAATCTGCTTTACCCAGAAAGCCCCAGAATAATGGTACCTCTTGCCAGACCTGGTAGATGGACAAATAAAACCAGGTGCTGTTACCAGCAATAGTTCTCAAGGGTAGAGAGGTTTTTGTCATATTCTCTCAACCAGAGACAGATAGGAGCCACATCTTATCAGTTATCTAGTTAAATAGATGCAAAATAGAATTCACTATTTATGGATAATAATCCCTTTACAGTGATGTAATGTTGTAACACTTTGCCTCATGAGTTTATGGTGCTAGGGATAAAACCAACAACCTCATGCAAGCTAGGCAAGTGCTGCCCTGCTATGGTATATTCCTAATCCCCAATAAACAGATGCTTATCTCCACTTTATGGACTTAAAGACTAGAGCATGGAGAAGTTGAGTAACGTACCCAAGGCACACTGTATCATAGGAACCAGGAATGGAAATGGATATGTCTTGCTGTAAAAATCATTCTATTAAATAGGATACTCTACAATGATTTCATATACTAGTTGATATTATTATCCTGAGTATGAAATGAAATGATGTATACAATTCTTAACACAATGTATGATATACAAGATCTCATCCAATTTTGTTCTTGGTTGTAGTAATTGAGACGTGTTATTTTTCTAGTATTAGACTAGCCTGGAAATCTGTTTTTATTAAGCAGGAAATGAAAATTCAGACCCATCTTTTGCTTATAAAACCTAAAACCCAAGTGTTTCTACTATAGCTCATGTAGAAAAAGGAACTAGTCCTCCCCCACACTTTGTCCAAATACTGAAAAAATATTCTGTATCTCAAGGTCTAGGGGGTTTTTAAAGTGTTTTTGTTGTTCAGATAAATACCTAAATCACCATATAGTTCCAATTAGTCATTATAGTCTCATTCCTAAAAAAACAAACAACAACAACAAAAAAGTAAGGCATAAAAGTCATGTCTCTGTTAGTCTGACCCAAATAATAACCAGTAAGTACGTGTCGACCTTTCATAGATAGGAGATGCATAGATAGATGAGATGTATGCACTTAATTTGCTAGGGTGGGCAACAGATCCCCTAGGCTAGACCCATTTTAGTGAACCTACATTTTCTGCTACAGGGAATATTCACTTTCAAGCAAATCCTTTGGTTCCAGATGAGGCTTTTATTTATTTCAAGGCAGGTTTATGTGTTGGTTAAAATTGTATCTGAGAGATAGGCTGGAGCAAAATCAGGCACTGAATAGTTCTGCCTCCAGTTTACTACAGCTTCATTTGTTCTTTGTTTATAGACCTATTGCTTCCCAGTGACGGATGGGCTGAGAGTGAAGAACCACCATCCTTGCCACCACATCCTGGTCTGGAATTGGGCCTTGAAGATTACAGCCATAGGTATCGATGAAATGATATATCATAAATGTACCCCGTTAGGGTTTTTCTGGGAAAACTCAGCAACCTTATTTTAACTCTATTTCTTTCCAGAATAGAAATCTCAGAGTATCTATAATTCTTTTCCAGTGAATGTTTCTTTTAACAGCATAGCTTGTTAAGACTCATCTTATTAAAGTATTGACGAAAATGGTTGACTTTTCTTTCACGGGTTTGAAAACTCTAGCAGTAGAGCTCAAAGAAAAGTTATATATAAGAAGGTAGACAATAAAACTAAGACAACAGAAAGCTTAGGGTTTTTTCCCTTTGTTATTGGCAAACCCTAAAGGTATTTTTAAAATATATGTTCCAAGAAAGTTAATGGAATCTAAAATTTAAAGCTGCACCATATAACCTAAAATATTGAAAAAAGGTACCCAATATTATATCCATTCTGTAATAGAAACTAAAAAATCAATAGGTTTTAGAATCACACAAGCATGAGAGAGGAAGATTTACTAAGCATACATACTATTTGACTAGTGGAATTCATAGATTTTTGTTCTTCTGATGAGTGTTAAAAATCATTAAATTGTCTCTTTGCTATTTTCTATATTTATTATGGCTGTTTAAAACTGTGTGTTTTGTTCTACTCTGCATCCCATGGTAATCCTGTGAAATTTCTTCCAGCAAAGTTAGTGACATTCCTATTATGCTTTTTAAATACAACCTGCTAAAAAATAAAGCAACACAAGAGTATAGCTAACTCTATTAGATGGAAGCTTACCTACATTTAGCCATCTCTGATTCTGATATTTTTGAAATCAGTTATCTGCTCAAATACCATTTTGTGAACTAGGTTCATAGTCACAACAATGTTCTAGATCAGAATCTCTGAAGCCTTCTTAAAAGAACATGTGGATGTATTTATTTATTTTTCATTGATTTTTATTTCCTGCCTGAAATCCAAATTCCAAATGACACTTCGGTGGCATAAAAGAATCCATTTCAGAAATAATTTCATTCATTATGTTATGTATAAAACCATTGGGATGGCACAAAAACGAATCAGATAGAAACCCTGGCATCGAGAAGCCAGAGTGTTTGTGGGCAAAGTGGCTAGAACACAAGCTACAAAATGGAACTTACCAGAGGGTAAAGTTTAAGTGTTTGGGGCATCTGAGTCTGAGGAGGATATGTGCAGGTTGACAAATCAAGTGACACAAGGTATTCAAGCTGAACCTTCCGTCATGACTGAGGAGGAGAAGGAGGGTGTGAAGTAAGTCCAGGAAGGAAGGGGCTGTCAAAAGGGAAGGATGAGCAGAAGGAACACTGAAGATATGGGAAGTACAATGCTCTACACAACTTACATTGTGCCTAATTGGCCAGATAATAAAGCCCACCATGTCAGGATGAAGTACCTAGACCTCATTGGTTAGATAGTAAAATCATATTGAGTATTAACAGACAATAGGGATGGTGAAACCCAGTTTCCATTGTGTCTATCAGAGATTGGGTGAATGGAGGCTATGAAGAACCTTCAGAGGAAAGAGGCAGTTCAGGGATATCATAGATATGACTGTTAGGTTTTAGCAACTGCTTCTGCGGCATCAGTGTCTCCTCAAGATTTCTTCCCTTCCCCTTTCTTCTAAGCAAATTCCTCAGTGATTTGGGGGGCAGGATAGCATGAAAAGCTTCTGTTGGACCTCATTGCTGAAAACCTTCCTTGCCACCCTTTCCTTCCTGACATATGAGTTTCAGCTTCTATCCTCAACACTGCTAGAACTGTGCCCTTAAATATCAACATTCACTTCCTTTCAGTCAGAAGTCTGAAATTTCTGTCTTTATTCTGCTCTTTGGCTGTGCATTACTTGATCATTAGGTCATATATTCACTAATTCATCTAGTCAGAAAAGTATCTCTGAAGCTTTGAGCCAGATACTGTAGAAGGCACTAGAATGGATCAGAAAGCATCTCTGCCAAAAAAAAAATCAATATTCTCTTATTGAAACACATACACAAGTAATTATGATGTAGCCTACTCAGCATTATAAAATATCACCGGATCCCAGAGGCTTGAACCACCAACTCTGCCTGTATGGTCAAGGTTGGTTACACTAGAAGGGAGTTTGACTAGATTTCATGGAGAGTGGAAAGGACCCCATGTAACCGTGAAGTGGCAAGTTGAGTTTAGAAGACCAGGAGGCAGGCACCACGTGCAGCATATGCACCTGGGGAAAGAACCAGCAGGTTGGGTGTTGACTGCCATGGTCCCTGACCAGTTGCTTCTTCTCAAAGCAGTGGAGAGGTATTAGAGGGTTTCAAGCCCAGTCATGACAGTTCAGGCCCTGAGCAATTTCAGTTGGGAGGATGGAAGAAGTATTTTAGACTTGGGAATAGGAAGAAAACAGCAGGGTAGGAAGAGAGGGAGAAGCTGCATGGGTGGATAGGAAAGACAGACATTTTGTAGAGAGAGGGAAGGAACAAGTCTTAAGCTTGCAGCTCTCCCCCTCCTGGGAGCCTGTGACCTGCGCCACCCTGCAAGCTGCTGCGTTGCCAAGGTGACCAGTAGCAGTGGGGTTTGGATGTGTGAAGCTTGGGGTGGAGGAAGGACTGACTGGCAGGGAGCCAGGAAGGTTGAACATAGGGAATATCCTATCTTTAAAAAAAAAACAATAAAAGGCCTCTGTAAAGGAAGTGTGATGCTTTGGGGGAGCTGGTTTTGAAGAGCAGAAAACTACAATAGCCTGGAGAGGAAAAACCAAGTTTGAACAAGTTTAATGCATGTACATGAAATCAAAATGAAAATGGGATTCAAAATGAACTTATTTCTGCTATTATGCCACTGATTATTAGAGAAAAGTTTCGATATGTGTCTAAATATCAAACAAATACAAAGAAAAAACATTTTTATTTAGAGATGTCAAGAATAATTTAAGGCAGATCAACAGCAGACAGTCTATACTGAATATTATTAACAACTTAGCATTTGCTCATCCGCCACTTGCTTAGTTTTTTTTTTCATTCTCTGTCTCTTTATCTCACACACATGACCTGCATTCATTCCCGCTCCTTAGTCAATTGTAGGAGTCTAATCATGGGCTCACAGGTAACCTGAGACTTCAGATGTTATTATTTTTTAAATTTTTAAGCATGCCTCTCAAATTTTCCCCCTGGCTCTCAGATAGTCACTTGCTTTTCACTCTCGTTCATATTCCTTGTTTGTCACCATATTCAGGACCACTGGCATATGTTTCATGCTACCCTTATTTATTCATTGTGCAGCATAATTTGACATTGAGTATCATTTCTATTTGATAGATTCCCTGGTTGTTCATGCTGAAAACACAGCCTTTATCTAGGACATGTCTTTGGCCTGCTGTCAGCTTCTAGCTTCCCACAGCCTCCAAAGCAGCCCATTCAGCCATAAGCACATGCTAACTCCCTTCAAAATTAAAATATGTCATCGTTTATACTTAATCATTGTGTCAGCTTCTCACTCTAAACACTTTTGATATGTAGCATAAAATTACAAACCATGTTACAAGTCTAACTTGCATGTCTAAAATATTTTCACATTAGCTAATTCAATACTGCACTCCTAACTTCTGTTCCCTATATGTTCACATTGGCTCTCATCCCATAATACCTTACATCACACTCACATCCTTCCTTCGATATCTGCCAATCTTACATCAGCTTTATTTTGCATTCCCATTCTTTACTGTGGCAAGTGGGGTCTTTCTGCTGAAGGTTTTCAAATTGTACACCTTCAAAATAATGGAAACAGATAGGATGATCAAATTCTTGGACATAATTATATACATGTTTATATAACGATGAATACTATATATGGTTACATTTAGGTTACAACGCAGCTTGTATTACTCTAATTATTCTTCATAATATTCCAATATTTATATGAAATCAAATCACTTTCTGATGACCTCCCTTCACGAAAACTATAACACATAACATTGCCACCTATTTTTAAAATGATGTTGGGACCTTTATATCTCAGGAGTATGAGAAAATCGGAACCCTGATGATCAATATGTCAATTATTGCCTAGTTGTACTATGATACTCTAAAACAATAAATTTAGTCATCTAAGACAATGAACTGGAGCAATCAGTATATTTCTCAGTTGGGTAGATTCCCACACTTTGCCTGGAGCACACCACTTTAAATGCAGTGTGATCTTCCTTGTAAAGAGGAAAATTCATGTTGATCCTAAACCTCCTCCCTCAAGGTTCTTGTTATAACATACAGCATCTGTTTTGATTAACTACTTGTTTTTCTTTTATTTCATGATATATACCACTCAAATTTCCTAGAAGGAAATTTGCATAGGGAACAAATCTGTACTTAAAGTGAAAGGCTTGATTTCTGTGAATTAAGTATGCTAACAGCTATATCCTTGAATGACCACCAATTTAGCCAAAGCTTGTGGTTCTGGTGGAGGCTCTGCCCTTGGCCAGCTGTGTGACCTTAGACCATCAGTCCTTCTCTTCAGGCCTCAGAGTCTTATCTCAAAGATGAGGGGACCTTTAATCCCTGGTAGTTCTTAAGTTCTTTGATTCTATAAAGGCCATGAGTCTTTCTGACACTAAATCCACATTGTCACAAGAGATCAAAGGAAGAAAAACTAAGTGCAAAAAGGTCGAATGACACATTTGAAGGCAAGTACTTCTCTAACACTAAGGCTCAAGGAGAAGCTCATGTTCTCTAACCATCTCAGAACTCTTTTTAAAGTGAGGCAAAAAAAAAAAATTTAATGAGAACATCGCTATTAGATTACACCAGCATCAATAATTCCAAATAGGTCCAAGGATTTTTATACATAATTGTCATGTTCTGCTGTTACTAGACACCAGATCTAGTACTTTTTACTTATCAATCACTTCATCACTTGAGAATGTACTAAAATACCAAGAAAGAAGCCCATACTACTTTCATGTCGCTTGAGCTCTTTTTTTAAAATTTTATTTTATTGCAAAGATGCTGTACAGAGGGGTTACAGTTACATGAGTAAGGTAATAAGTACATTTTTGTCGAACATTGTTACCCCCTCCTTTGTTTTATGACAGCCAATACTTTCAGCATTAACATGTGTTCAATTTTTAATCTTCACAACAATTTGACAGAGTAATTATATTACTGTATATTGTGTGGGTGAGGAAACTGAGGCTGTATGTGTTGATATCATTCCAGCCCTTTACCTTATCATACTATATTGCTCTTCTGAATAAGAAAGATTGTTCATTGCAGCCCTCCTCAGTCTGACAAAATTAGAAATAGCAAAGGAAATTAAAACAAATAGCCAAAAAATGTAGAGTCATTTGGTAAGCAAAAGTTGTTCTATTTATTTACTTGCTTATCTGAAAACTCCACATTTCTTTTTTTTATTGTGAAAATACCATACAGAGGGGTTACAATTACATGGGCAAGATAATGAGTACATTTCTTATCAAGCATTGTTGCCTCCTCCTTTGTGAAAACTCCACATTTCTATGGCATTTACTATGTACCAGACTCATCTCTGAACCTTCGAAATCATAACTCATCGTATTGTCTTAGCCACCTGTAAGGTAGAGAGTATAATTAGATTCATTTTACACATGAGAATACCAAAACACAAAGGTGTCCAATAACTTACCCAGGTCACACATCCAGTAAGTAGCAGAGCCAGGATTTAAACTGCACCAATCTGTCCCAGAGCTCTGGCCTTTGAACACTGCATTGTAGTTCTTGTCATGGGACTTCTGTATTATAGTAATGGGGTCTACTTATTCACTCATCAATTTTATTATTGACAAATATTCATTTTAACATTGATGTCAGAGAATATGAAATAGAAATGATGGATGAGTTTCAAGGAAAAATGTTAAACTTAACTCTGGGATGTTTTGTTTAAAAGTCAACATTCCGCTGTACATTTTAGGATTCTCATCCAAAGCAGTTTCTTGTTGGCTGGTTAATTAAACTATCAGACCCTAACTTTGAGGGACTCAACCTCAGTCATTTCACATGTCCTGTGGATTCTTTGGGTTGTCACTGTATACAAGCTTATGATAGAAGTTATGTTGAAATAAGCCACATGTACTTTCTTAACAGTCTCCCTACAGAGGGAGAAAGTAGTTGTAATTTAATTTATGAATAGAATATGAATATAATTTATTTCTGGATCAAGATATAAGCCATTTTCTTTCATTCCTTTATATAATGCCTTTCATCCTCAAGCAAAATAAATAAAATAGTCAACAGAAAGGAAATTCTTTGAGACTGAACATAAGTACTAAGAAATCTGTAATGGTACTTGATATATTTTGTGAGTAAATTGTCAACTGTACTTTTTCTGTGCCTTCCTTTGGTATTACTGATGGGCAGATGTTTCTGCTCAGCATTAACAGGAGTTTTAGAAGATAGGCTTAAATACGGGAAACAATCAAACTCCCATGGCCATCCGTCAATCAACAAGGTGGTTTTCTATAAGGACACAGCTCTCACTTGTTTTCAAAGGAAGGGTGTGCTTAGTCCACTTCTGGGCGCTGCTATGATCTGCTGATGTCCTGCACCCCTCACCCACTTAAAGTTATATATGGGACAGCCAGATCCCAATTAGCAGAAATCAGTGAAGAGTAAAACATTGTATTAGCTGGAGAATATTTCATTTAAATTGATCCACGTGATACAATACATGAAAACAGAATTTGCCTAAAACACATGACTACTAGCTACCAAAAGAGTGCTGGGGAGCTATGTTGAAAATAAGATCTCTCTCTCTCTCTCTTTCTTTCTCTCTCTCTCCCCTCCGTCCCCCCCCCACCCAAAGATTTTTCTATAAACCTAAATATGATGTACGGCTTCTTTCCACAGCTCTGGGGTGGATTCGGCAGCATACTTTCCAGATCAGCACATCAATTTCAGATCCGTGACGCCAGCCAGGCAGCCTGAATCAATTAACCTGAAAGCCTCCAAAAGCATGGACCTGGGTAAGCAGGGGAGGTGACATCCAGGTCAACTCTCCAGCCTGAGCCCATCTATCTTCCCATTTGTCCAGATTTTGTTTCTTCAAGTCAGACTTCAGGGAGCAAGATCTGCCAGAAGCCCAGGAGTAAGGAAAAATGGCCATCCTGCCTTCTGTCTCCTTTCACACATTAATTGTAATTACACCCTTTATAAAGAAAAGAGAGAGGAGTTGTGTGTATACAGCGATCCATAAAAATTTCCTCTTTATAGGCCAGAAAAATACATGATGCCCTCTGGAGGCTCTGAAAGCCATGAGCATCTTCAACTCACTTGCCTTAGTATTTGTATTGCTGCTTCTGCCAGGGCATTTCATTCCTAATGAACATACCTGCCCTTCCTATTCTTCTTCCCTATCAGTGATGGAAAGGGAAGGCAGCAAGGGGAAGATCTTCTCCTCAGATGTCAATCTCCAAATCCCATGACACTCCAAGGAAAAAGAGACCCTTAGGTTTTCCAGAGTGGGGTACATTCTCACCCTGGGATGGTGGCTGAACAGACCCATTGAAGTTTTTAGCCTCACAAGGAATATCTAGGTGACTGCTGACTGCAAGGACAGACCCATAGACCTCGTCAACTGAGTTCTCTAGGCCCTGCAAGGCAGAATCCTGAAACACATCTCAGATACCCAGGAGCATTGCTGCCCTCCTATGAGCCCTTAGAAGACAGAGAGTGCAAAATGAATTCTCAGCAAAATAATCTGAATGTTCAGACCCTAGACCCTGCAATTGTTTTTTTTTTTTCTTCCAGGCATGTTATATATTTCATTAGCAGCAACAAGAAATTAGAATAACCAAAACCGTATGCTCTGATGAAACAAGAGTAAATTATTCTATTTTCTATAGATTAACTAATCACTGTAAAAACATGTGTTCTAATCGCCTACAGTGAGAGACAGAAAGCTTAACAAGGAAACTATCTTGAGCAGTAGTCATAGGGTATTTTCTCAAGTGTAAACTTTTGACAAAGCAAAGGAATAATGTATGAATGACATCACTCATTACTAATAATTTAAGGATCAATTTATGTTTTAAAAAGTACTTGGCAAATATTTCTCCCTCTGTCTTCCCAGTTTCTCTATAAAGATTCATGGAAAAGTGCTCTTTATTTGGGGGACAGAAATCTAATACTGTTTTTCCTAATTTATTTAGAAGTAGTCATTATTTTGGATCTAATTTTTTTGCAAGACATAATAATAGCATAGCATGATTTTAAAAGAGAAAAAAACATGATCATATCTGGGGGAAATAAATCATGAGTATGTCCAAAAGTATACTCTGTTTATTTCTTATTATGACTGAAAAGTTTATGTTTTGAAAATTTTTCACTTTTACCTTGAAATCATCTTTTTAAAGAAGTCAGGTAGAAGTCATCTATTGCATTTTGTCATATGTATTCCATAAAGGGCAGAGATAATGTTTGTTCAGTTTGAAAAATTAGGTAACCTTGAGATACTTTCTGGGGAATTTCAGGGATGGACTAAAAGCACCAGGTAAAATGTACTTTATAGCAGAAGTGCTCAGTAACATAGTATGAAGATTTTTTAGAGTGGATCATCAAGGTTGCCTGCATTTCAGGAAGCACCAATCTAACAACTTTGCTGAAGTTTCAGCAGGTGGTAAGGAAGGTGTTCTAGGACTAACCTGGTTTCTTTTCCCTAGAACAGACAATGGAATGAGTTTAGTAAGTGTATTGACTTAGACAATGAATCAACTGAGTGGTACCCCAGTAGTAAACATCTGTAAGTAGCTTTCTTCTTCAACTGAAAGAGTAGGATAATGGGTGGAAGCTAGTTTACCATAGATGCCCAAGGCTAAGGAAGAAAACATAATGGAGAAAGGGGTTAGTGAGATTATGCTTCTAGAAATAATATACTCAGCAGGGTAAAAAGTCCTTCTGTAAAGTGTTGTAACAACATTTAGGTCAAATATTATATTAGTTTTTGTCTTTGACCTAGAAAATTGTCAGATTCTTTTGGTTCAAAAGTTTATAAAAGATCTATCTTTTATTCATTGTAAAATTAACTTACAATAACTATTTCTCCTTTATAAGGTCTGCAGCAGCTATAGCAATGATACATATCTATAATCTCAGCTACATGAGGAGACCGAGGCAGGACGATCTCAGGGAACATGGCAAGACTCTGTCCTTATGAAAATTAAAAATATTGTCTGGCCTGGTGCCAGTGCTTCATGCCTGTAATCCTAGAGACTTAGAATGCTGAGATCTGAGGATCACAGTTCAAAGCCAGCCTAGGAGGAAAGCCCATGAAACCCTTATCTCCAATTAAACATCGAAAAGCCACAAGTGGAGCTGTGGCTCAAGTGGTAGAGCACTAAAACCGTGAGCACCAAACATGAGGGACACCAAGCACCCAGCTCCTCAGTTCAAGCTCCAGGACTGGCATAAAACAAACAAATAAGAATGTTACTGACTGTGGGAATCTTCTAAGGCTCCATTATTAACATTTTTTTGCTTCTAAATCCAAGCTAATATTTCTATCTGCATATTATTATACTATTATACCATTTAACATATTATTCATATGCTCAAATGATTTTTTTTCTTTCTGGGGCTTGAATGCACTGTCACTGAGCTTCTTTTGCTCAAGGCTAGTACTCTACCACTTGAGCCACAGCATCATTTCAGGCTTTTTCTGAGTAGTTTATTGGATATAAGAGTCTGGTGGACTTTTCCTGCCCAGGCTGGCTTCCAACTACAATCCTTAGATCTCAGCCTCCTGAGTAGCTAGGATTAGAGGCGTGAGCCACCAGCACCCAGTTCCCAAACGATTTTAAAGGCAGTAAGTTCCATTTACTTATTTTCACTTACATTTCCAAAAACAGACAATTCTATTATGAAAAATAACACTTCTTTTCCTCATTCACCCAACCCAAATATGCTGTAAATATAATTTTGTGTTATCCATTTTTCCCTTCCTTCCTTGCTTCTTTCTGTCTTTCTTTCTTCCTTCCTTCCTTCCTTTTCTTTTCCTTTGGTTTTTTGGAGGGGGGGGGGGGTCGTGGGTCCTGAACTCTGGGCCTGGGCGCTGTCCCTCAGCTCTTCAGCTCACGTCTAGTGCTCTACCACTTGAGCCACAGAGCCACTTCCAGCTTTTTTCTTTTTGCTTATGTGGTGCTGAGGAATCGATCCCAGGGCCTCAGGCATGCAAGGCAAGCGCTCGACCACTGAGCCACCTTCCCAGCTCCCCTTCCTTCCTTTTCATCTCTCTTTTTCCTTCCTTCCTTCCTTCCTTTCTTTCTTTCTTGCATTCTTTCTTTCTTTCTCTATGATAGTCAAGGTTGAACTCAGGGATATGTGCTTACAAGTGGCCTGCCACTTCCACAATGCCTCTAATAATTTTGCTATGGCCAATTTATTTGGAAGCACTGACCTCAAACCCCAAACTTCTCATCCCAGCCTTATGTATTGCTAGGTTTATAGGATTAAACCACCACACCTGGCTCTATTATCCTTTGGGGAAGCATTTTACTTGTTTGCTCTGTTAGCCATTCCCTTGTTTATGTCATATGTATTTCTTTGAAATAGTCACACAGGGTTAAATGAATGAGTCTCAGTTTGCAGGTTGATTTACCCCTTTAACAATGGAATTTGAGCAAAATTGAATACATTATTTTGTGTTGTTGCCCATTTAAATGTATGCATTTTCTATTTCAATTTTTGAATTTTATTAAACAAGTTGTGATTTTTTTCAAATTTATTATTTGCCTTTCTATTTTGATCTGGTTATCTCTTATAAAAAAAGTTTAATCTTATACTCAGTCTGTCTTCTCATTTTTTGATTTTTTTTTTGTTTATTTCATTGATTTTGTTTCTCTAGAGGCTTTTAAAATTATTTAGTAATCAATAGTTTATTTTTATCCAAGGAATATGGGGTAAAGGAATTCTTTTCCACAAAAATAGCAAATTATTGGGTAGGTTTTAGTGGTTCACAACTTCAATCCCAGCTACTCAGAAGATAGAGATTCAGAGGACTGCAGTTCTAGGCAAGCCCAGACAAAATGCTAGTTAGACCCCAACAAATGAGCCATATATATTAGTACATTCCTGTACTTCTAAGACGTACAAGTAGGAGACTGTGGCTCTAGGCCAGCCAAGGCCAAAGAAGAAGAGCACTCTATCTAAAACAACAACTGAAAAGCAAAAATAAGTTTTATGTACAGCTCAGGTGACAGAGTGCTTACCTAGCAAGCACAAGACCAAGGCCCTAAGATCTCTCTGTCTCTCTGTCTCTCTCTGTCTCTCTGTCTCCCTCTCTGTCTCTGTCTCTCTCTCTCAAATTGTTAGTAATACTTTTTGACTTTTCCATACTTCTACTATTTTGGAATGCAGGTACTCAGTTTCTTTGTAATCATATATGAATGGGCTTATATACTTTCTGGTATATTGATATGTTAAACTGTCCTGTGCTGGCATTAACCTGGTCATGATTTCACTTTGTATTTTGATTAGTTGTAGTATCATATTCCTCTGTTTTTCTTTTTGTTAAAGGAAAACTCATATTTTTCTAAGTAAAATCATGTTGACCCTTCATATGCATTTAATTTCCCATGAACTTTAGAACCAGCTGACCTATTGAGCTTAAAGAAACAGGAATACTGCTACTCTGTGTGCCTATATGTTTGTGTATGAGTGTGAGCCATTAACTGTGATGCTGCCTGCAGTTTCTTGGCACCAACATTCTATCAACATTCAATAATTTTTCAGTCTTAATCTTCCTAGACTTTTTTTCCTCTTTTCCCTCTCTTTTTTAAATGGGGATTGCACATTGAATTTTATTATATAGTTTTAAAGCATCTATACTGGATAATAATGTGCCATTACACTTTATTAATCAAATAGCAACAAATTAATTGCATTACACAAAATTAAACTTTGGTCCTTTTTCAAGAACTCTGAATTCCTCTTTGAAGTTGGAAAAGTGTCCACTTGATTAACTACAGAC